GGTTTTAATGTGTGAGTAAAATATAGAAAAATATAAGACCAAAATGCGAGAAAATATAAATCTGAATGCAGGTAAATATCAAGTTCGGTAAGAAATAAATTCTATGTTTTTAATTTTGTTTTATCAATTATAAATGTTAGAAAAAATTACATGAAAGAAGTTTACTTTGTAATACCAAATTTTTGTTTGATTTTTTTATGTTTTCGACAGTAATTAAATCATACATATATATTATATTTTCTATATATATATTGTGAGGACCAAATTTCACGGAAAAAAGCATTTCTTTTCCAAAATCTATAAAACACAATTATTCTAAGCAGTTGTAATTAAATTTTTAAAATCACGGTTTTCCCACATTCTTTATTAATACCAAAATTCGACGAATTTTAATTATTTCGCAAGTATGCATTTTATGCCAGTCCTCTTACTAAGTTCGTAAAATCGTAGTTTCCCACGATTTTACTACTAGCACATTCGGCGAATTAAAGGCTGAGTTAGATGGTAGGTAACGTAAGAAATTAATTCAAAGCGAAAAGCACAAACAACGAAACTTGTGTGTTTGATAGAAACGAAATAAACAAAGTACACTGTTTTTGTTAATTTCGTTGCTATCAAATATGCAGGTTTAGTTGGTTGTGAATTTCGCTTCGAATTAGTTTCTTACGTTACCTACCGTCTAACTGAGCCTTAACGGTGCACTTTGTGCGGGTACGTTTGCTAAACTTGAATGCAATATGAAAATTGTTTTGCAAACGGTACTTTGTTTACCTCAAAATATTTTTTGTTGTTGTTTACAATAGAAGGAGTTTTATATAAAAGGAATCCAAATTGCGGTTTGGTTCTATTTGAAATTTCACACTGTTGAAAGTTAGTTGTGTGTGCTTAGGTACAACAGTGAGAGCTCGGTCTAATTGATCTGGACACATGGTGGTTCGTTTAGCCTTTGTTGACGTTCACCATGTGGACAGTTGAGGTTGGATGAATGAGCTGATATTGAAGAAGTTACCTTTCGTCTGGCCTATGCTGACGAAGAGTAACTTCTTAATCAGCCAATCGGATTTCCATCTGGCTATTGCTGATGCAAAACTGAATTGCAATTCACCAGCACTGTGTTAGAAGTTTGTTAGGAACAACAGTGGGAACTCTGACTAGTTAGTCTCGATATATGGCAATTCGTTTGGCCTTTGCTGACGATCGCCGTGTGGATTGGCGATTTAGTTTGAGTGAAGTTGCCTCCTGCTTGGCTTATGCAGGCATAGGGTAACTTAACCCGTCATTCAGACAGCCATTTGGCAATCCTCCATTTGATGGAGGAATGGATGACGAGTCACCAACACTGTTGGAAGACGTGTGAATTATACGAGCGTTTGACGATTGCTGACGAGCGTGCCCAGGCGTAGCATCAGGGAAGGGATCTTTGTCTGGCTATAGCTAACAAAGGTTCCCACTAAATTCTTAGCACTACTCGCAACGGTGGATTTCAGCAGCCTCAACGCTCGAAAATCTTCAAACGACACGATACTCTCAACGTGTATAACGATTACACAATATGCAACTTTGTTATTTTGTTAACAACACTAATAAAATGTAAACACAACACATAAGTGTCTTATTTCTTTAATTCTTATTACGAATCCTGGTATACTCGTTGAGTTATACCCCAGCTATAGATAGCGTCGAAATAGGTCGCTACAATATACATAAAAAATAAGCGGATAACTTAAAACACAAAGTGTGAAACCCTATATTTGACTTCAAACAAATGGTCAAAAAAAATGCTTAGTTTTTTTTTAATAACTATAACTACATAACTTTACATGTATTATTGATAGATAATAACATCATAAATAATTCATGTTTATGAAATAAAGCCTCTTGTACTGAATGTTGGATTTTAGTAATATAGATCCATTTTTTAACTTATTCGAATTAAACTTAAATCTTTACATCCATGTTAGAACTTACGCAGGCGCTGATTGTGGACTTTTGTGCACCGTTGAACTGACGCCTGCTGATGGAGAGCCTTGCATTGGAGAATTACGCGGTTTGAAATCAACTGAAATGCAAATATTTAAGTTTTAAGTTTTATTTTCAAAATCAAATCTCGATAGTTCACATACTAATATTATTTCGTCGACTTCCAGTCGACACTTTAGTTTTAGATTGTAAACGCATCGTTGTATTTTCCAATTTTGGAGGTCCCGTTGTCATAACTGGGTTAATGGCTGGCTTATTGGCTTCACTCCTGTATAATTTTAATAAATATACCCTTTAATATATATCTGACTTGACTATTTGACTATAAAATTTACCTTGTCTTCTTAACTTGTATATTGTAGCTTAATTTTTCTAAAGTCATATCACCTGTTTTCTTGTCTATTATTATAATACATTCTTTCGTATAATTTCTGTGATTTCCCTTATAAACAGTATTAGGCACACCGGAATTTTCTGCAAATAGTAAAAAATTATTTAATTATTATTTATTTATTCATTTATTTTTATTTTTATTATTATTTTTTTTGAAAAAAATACAATGAAAAAAATATTAATGATTAGAACATTGCTGCGATGGTCAAGCGATAAACTTGAACATTCTATGTGTAGACATTAATTGATGAAAATATTTTAGATGTGACTTGATTTAGTTGTAATTTTATTTGATTCGACTGTAAATGAAAACTATAAACAGCAATATAAAATGCTGGGTTTTTTGAAAATTAAAAAATTAACTAATTATTAACTAAAAATGTGGCAAATGGCAGCTTTAAATGCAGATAACTTTTTTATAGATGTCGTGGTGTTAATACTCTGATTCTAGAATCACTATCTTCATCAGCACCTCAAGAAAAAGATAGAAGTATTTCAAATAATATTAGTTCTTATAGGATACTGAACTATAGGATGACAGGAAAAGCCAGGACGGGACTGTCTCATCGAAATTCTTGTGAATTGCCTTTGTTAGTGCCTAACGAAAGAACACAGAAGCATCGGTTGTGTTACTGTTCAAGCTTATCAAGATCAGCGGTTCGTTACTCGAAGTGTTTGTCAAAAGTGAGCAAAATCGTTCGAAAAAAAATAAGTGAGAAAGTTACATAAACGACCCGCAGACCACAAAAAAATGGTCGCGTCTTTAATAGATTCAACAATATATTTAATTTAAAAATCAGCCTAATACTTGCGTTTATCTTTCCAAATGTTCAAGGAAATTTGATTTAAAAAGAGTTTCTAATAAAGAAAGATTTGACTTCTTTTTACTTTACCTACCAAATTCTTTACATTTATTTTTTGGTGCTGTTAGTTGGCACTTTGATGTGAAATGAAAGAGTTTACTAATAAGAAGAAAAAGCTTTTCTAACTGCAAGCTGACAATTTGTACAGGTTTAGTAAGATATTGATATAAATTAGAATCAGTAGACGAATTAAATGTTATGTGGCATTTTCAATATATGACTTAATTACTACGATACTATAATCAATCTTCTATCTTTTATGAAGTAAATGTATATATCAAAGTATAATAATTTTTGTGCAACTATATTTGAAATTTAAATGCTCTAGATATAAAACAATTGGGAATTTTTATGAAATGATTCATTTAGAATACCAAGAAAACTATAATGATTTTATTCCTTTTCTTTTAAAAGAGTAAATATTATCGAATTATATGTATGAGTTTAATTTTCACTGTTTGAACACTAGGTATTGACGTCATAAATTGTTAAAATAATTAACAAAAACTTAAAAGAAACAATATAATAAAAAACATTGACACAAATCAAGCTTGTTGGACTAAAAAACAAACTATGGTATTGTGGTGAGAGAAATAATTTGAAACACTCATAAAAGCTCCAAATGTGTGAAAATGTTGGTTGAGGTTAAAATTTTAAAATTTTACAACATTCTTGACCAAAACTCAAAAGCAACAAGAAAAAGGCAGTCAATTTGCATTAAGAGAAAGAAGTTAAAGAAATTTTACACTTCCCAAAATATTTAGAGAAAAAAAGAAAGTCTTGACAATAAAAAAATTCAAGGCCGCAAACTTAATGCATTTAAATTTTGTGTGATTTTTGCGATTTGATTTATAAAAAAAATGGGTTAAAGAAGTCACAACACTTCACACTGCAACCTTAAATACTTTATCTTCGTTTTAGATATTTCGCTTCCGCAATATTTTTCCGTGATTTTTGTCAAGTTCATTGTTGCTTTAAAATTTTTCTATTTTTACTTAAAAAAATTACAATTTCAATAGCCCGTAAGTATTTAAACTTATTTTAACAAAAATAATAAAAAAATGAAGAAACAAGGTTACTTTTATTCAACCTAATTTTATGAAAACTAGAACATATATTCATAATATAGTTTATATAGTTTTAACATATATAAAAAAAAATGTGTATGTCAAAAGGAGTTGTGGTATAAACGGTTTTAAATCAAACGATAAAGAAATATTAATAAAATTTATCTATTTATTTACAATATTAATCTATTTATTAATCTATATCATTAAATTGAAAACAGATTGCAACTGAAAACAGATTAAGGAAAGTCGGAAGAGAGTGCTCTATAGAGAAGAACAAACTAATAGTGTTTTCGATTAGTAAACCTGAATTCAAACTCGATCTGTCAAATTTTTAGAGTAATATAACATTTTTATAGTAAATACATATATAGAATAAAATCACACTTTATTTGTCAAATCATATAAAATATCTATTAATTACAGGGTAATCTTGCTACTTTCGCAAAATATCTATGTTAGTGTTATAAATCAATCGCGAGTGTTATATATTTTGCCCCAAATTTACCAATCGAAAATAAAACTGCACTAAAAGTGCATTAAAAGAGCATCTCGATTGAAAAAATTTCCCCATAGTTACCAATTTACCAATCATATTAACAGCATCAAATAAGCAGGATCTGATATTTGCATTGTCGTTATATGTGTATATTTCTGGGTTGATTGATGGGTTTCTGGGTCATGCGGAATTTAACCTCAACAAAATAGAAGCCTGGAAAAAAAGAATGTTGCACTAATCTTTTTCCTCTTGAAGTGCATATATTTCTCAGACTAAATAAGTACTTAAAAACCACATATAAAGAAAGTGAATTTCACAGCTCAGAGTAAAATATCCACCTATCTTATTTGTTTATGTATTGCAATTGTCAGGAAATGAGTACAATTCGTTCATTTGACTTTTCTTAAATCGATTTTTCTGGAATCTTCAATCAAGTATCACTTGTAAGGTTTAGCAATAGTCTTAACATATCTGGGTGGATTTAGGGACTCTATTCAGAGATAGCATAATTTATCGCATAAGTTGTACATATATTAACACATGTACATATGTATTAACTTATTTGTTTATGTTTTGCAATTGTCAGGAAATGAGTACAATTCGTTCATTTGACTTTTCTTAAATCGATTTTTCTGGAATTTTAAATCAAGTATCACTTGTAAGGTTTAGCAATAGTCTTAACATATCTGGGTGGATTTAGGGACTCTATTCAGAGATAGCATAATAGATCGCATAAGTTGTACATATATTAACATAATAATAATAAAATAAATATATATTTGCATATATACGAGTATACGAATTAGATACGAAATACCTCAATAATATCAACTTGGTTGATATGCAATGAATGTTGAAAATTTTGGATTTTAACATATATGTACTTAACTGTTGTATATTTTAGTATTCATTAAAAATACGTGGGGGCAATGTGTAACATATGAACCTAAAGATGTACAACTGGTAACCCTAAAAGATATTAACAGTTTTTTTTTTTGTACTTTGCAGGAATATATTATTATATGGAAATGATCCCAAAAATTGTGAGGAAATCAATTTAACAAAAAAAAAAATCGAAATGTATATAAAAAAACTAATGCCCTTCGTCAAGTATATACAGTTGATTTATATAGCTATGGACTAAATATAAGAGAAAATTTTCAAGTATAAGTGTAGCGAAAGTTTATGATAGAATACTATATAAACCGTTGTTTAATTCTAGCTTCTGGTATTTCTTGATTTGTGCTAAATGCTTCATTATACTTTGATATACACAGAAACAAATATAATGGGAGGGTTTTGCCAAAAAATTTTTAAAGCACTTTAATCAATTCTACAAATTTATAGTGGAAACGTAATTAATTTTTCGGATTTTAAATGTTAATATAACTCATTAAACTGATTATATACGTACGACGACAGAAGTAGTGAGTAGCATGTATTCATTATTTTGATGCTGATAAAGTAGCATTTGTAGTCATATATATATATATATAAGTCAGACTTATGTTTAGCAACTATTTATCTAACTATAAAAAAATACCTATTGGTCTTTAATTATACTATATATTATAATTATACATTATAAATGAAAATATTTATTTCAGAAAGTAATATAATAAATTTTTTTAATTTTATTTTTTTAAATAACTAAAATTGTTTTTAAAAAAAAACAGGTATTTTCACCCGCTGGGGAATTATTATTATGATAAAAATTTAAAAAAATACCAAATTAAATGTTAAGACATGAAATATTAAAGTTAAAAGCTCAATGAATGATATGAGAAGAGTTAACTATACAATCAACCAAGCAACAACCCAACAAACTAACAAGTCAGCCAACAAGAAAACTAACGAATCAACAAGTAACAAACACGCAACAGCCAGAGTGTATCCCCACATCCAAGCCATGAATGTTCCGAGCCGCAAAACTCAATTTGAACCAGAAGACTTTGCGTCGTACAGATAAATTAAGCGGCGATACGATTACGAAAGCACTGAGATTTATAGACCAAAGTAACGGTATTGAACATTTAATTTTTAAGAAGCACAGCACAAGAAATAAAAATTACCAAAAATAAATTAAAAAATGAAAATGAAAATCATGGAATCACGAAATCAAGTACGCGTATCTTATAGAAATCATTTCATTCCAAATATTGAGACTTCATTAGTGGAATTAATTTTAGCTTTCATAGAAACCATATGAATGAAAACGCCTTGAGCCAGTATAAAAACTTATTGAGAAATAGTCAAAAAAATTAAAGAATCATTATATATATATTATTGTACAACATAAAAATCTGCAATATTATAGTTAATTTATGACACTTTATTTATTAAAAGAATATTGAGATTCTTTGGATTCTACAACATATAAAAATTATAATTTATAGGTTAACTAATGACTAAGCAGGCAATATGAGAGAAAACAGGGATTAATACTATAAACATTATTGATGAGGATATCATAAAATCACAATAAAGTGATAGAAATTATAGAAAAATGTGGAAAATTAGTTTACAATTTGAATTGATTGTCGTCTTATCCTTTGATAAGAGATATGGAACATCACCTGACGGAATCTAACATGCACTACTGCTTTTTAAAAGAAACTACAAGAATAAAAAAAAGAAGTCAAAGATTGAAGAAA